GTTTACTATATTTTTTTTATTCAAAAATATATTGTGCAAAGTAACAAATCCTAAGCACAATAAACTTATTGTAAAAACAAAATGGAAACTTAAATATTCATAACATAAATCTTGTGCAAGTAACACAAATGTTCACCCAACAAGAGTTTTTGTGATTTATTTTGATTTTTTTATCAGTAAAAAATGTACACCTGCATATTCAGCATGAGTGCAAAAAAAAGGAGCTTAATTTGCTGCAATATGCATTTTATCAAACAGTCAATAAGGGATATAATAATATCCAATAATCGTAATAATCTTTTGGGAAGTAGGTGGTTTGTTAGCAGCAGCTGTTGAGAGCCGAGTTCACGTCGATATAATGCAGTAAAACTCACGTACGGCTGAAAAGATCGACCGGACCGAAGTCTGTATTAGTTGCAAAAAACAAAGCTGTCCAACTTTTTACAGAGCGCTTGTCGTTTTTCTTTTTACAGTTTTAGTAGCACAACCTCCGCAAAATAGCCATATTTTGGATCACACACTTTAAGCATGTTAAAAAGCCAGGCTTCTCTACGGTGTAAATGAGCATCATATCCATCCCTATATAAACGGCGACAGCGTCGGTCATCTGCTTCCATCACACGGCACTGCTTTAGAAATTGAGGCGGACAGGGTTTTGTGGTCTTTTCTTGTCGTGGTCGTGTTTGTCTTTGTCTGATTCCAATCAGATATATTTTTGTTTGAGGTTTCAATATCAAGTTGAAGGGGTATGAATACTTTTTCAAGCCACTGCATTTTCTAATAATGACATCTATTGGAGATTGTTTCTGTTTTAGAGCGCAGGGGATGATTGCTCTGTTTCAGTGCAGCTGCTGTAAATCTTTCCTCAGGTGGACCCTGAAAACCTGACGGTGAACGCCGTGCTGATAGCCATGGCCAGCGTGGTCGGCCTGGCCCTGCTGCTCAACTTTCGCACCTGGTGGCAGGTGGCCGACTCTGTCCTTAACTCCCAGAGGAAGCGGCTGCATGGCGCCGCCAACAACTTGCATAAGCTGAAGAGCGAAGGATTTATGAAGGTAATCAACTTAAGTAATTCCACTCCATTAAACGTAAATCCTCTGATCTGCTGTCTTCCTCTTTTACGGGACGTTCCTTCTGCTTATGAAGTTACTGAGTTTTCCTCTCTAATATGATCAATTTGTTCCCGAAGATAAGCTCTGAGAATTAAATTTCTATGAGTTTTGTTTTTTAAATGTGTGTCACCAGGTCCTGAAGCACGAAGTTGAGATGATGTCAAAGATGGCCAAAACGATCGACGGCTTCACCCAGAACCAAACCCGCATGGCCGTCATCATCGACGGGCTGGACGCCTGTGAGCAGGACAAAGTGCTGCAGATGCTGGACACGGTGAGGGTCCAACCAACCGCGGTTAGACTCCTAACCCGCCGCTGTGTCGTTAAAAAAAAAAACTGAGCCATTTAAGAAGTCTTCAGTCCTCGAGCCACATTTTGTCCCCTAATGATAACCCTAAACGCACCTGTAAATACTTCACCATATTTATTTATACATATTGAGTTAGTGTATTAATTTTAAAATAAACTGATGCTTTTTAAACGAACATTTAATAATGGAATAAATTGCATTTTAATTATTTAATGGAACATTTCAGTATTTGTGTATTTTAGGCTTTATTCACACTGCAGGCCTTAAAGCTCAATTCCAATTTTTTTGGTGAAATCAGATTTTTTTTGTGTTGCCATTCACATTTCCAAATATATGCGACTTGTATGTGATCTCCTGTGAACTGCATTCAAACAGCGCAAGTGTCCGGCATGCGCAGTAGAGGATGCAACGATGTCACAGGCCAGCGTGTTCCGTGCAGAAGTAAACATGGATGGTAGTGCCATAGAGCATCTAGCGAATTTTTCTCAACCTTAAAAACACAATATTTTCAATATGGTTATACATAAATAATGCTCTCCACTTCATTGTCGGCCATGGTTGTTGTTTTTCTTGCCACTTCTGCGTAGCAAGATGCAGAATAGTGACCTTTGTCAGGTATTAGTGGCGTTCAGGTCAGATGAATGTGACTTAGCTGTTCAGACACTAGTCCTATTTGAAAACATCAACAGATTCAGGACCACAGAGCCAAGTGGTCTGGGTCTCATTGGAAAAAATCTGATCTGAGTTGTTCAGACAGCCATGAAAGAATCAGATCCAGGTCGCATATGGGCCAGAAAATCAGATTTGGGTCACTTCAGGCTGCTGTGTGAACGTAGCATAAGACGTTGGCCAGTCTGGTACACCGGGGCTGTTATTCTGCACCTCTTCGATCTGTCCTTGTTCCCGAACTCCAGAATTATGTAATTAGAAAATTAAAAGGACTCTGGAGAAATTGGCTGCATACTGAGGAGGTAGTTCAGCTGTGTTGGACCAGGAGACATCTAAAAGTAGCAGGATATTAACCCTTAAGGAGCTGTGCACCGCTGATGTCAGATTAAACAAAAATCACTTCCTGTATTTTGATAGATGTTGTTCCTTCATATATCTCAGGGATCACATTACATTTAACGCATTAACCAGCTTCTAACCCTGCACCTGTTGACCCCCAGGGGTATCATCCCCCCACCCCCCCATTATGAACTCTGGTCTAAACGATCAATGTTTATATCCTAAATAAGGGTAAGCTGCGTAGAGCTTATTCATAGAAAGTGTAGTTGAAGGAAAACCTCCCTTTTGCATAAAAAAAAAATCCAAAAGCGTCAGTAACTGCCTGTAAATCCCAGATTCCTGCAGCTTAGCCTCCTCTTCTTTATATCAGATAGACCAGCTCTCCACATCCTCTCTAGAATCAGCATCTTTTACTGTGAAGGAAGGAACTCTTAGTGCCTGTTCTGATCCCCGTCTGTTGCATCCGAAGCCACCTCAGTTCACCTCTAGTCCTCCTGGTGACTGTAATCTGATTTCCTTTAGCTAAATGTTATTATTTGGTGAAGTTAGCTCTGGGAGGATTCCAGCCCTTCAGAGCTCTAATGTAATCTTCTCATTTCTTTAAGCACTTTGTGTTTGAAATGTTTCATGCGGCCTTCAGAACTCGGCTCTGTACGTTTCTGCAGTGCGTTGTAGCTGCAGGCATCATGTGACGCCGTTTATGCTTAAAACCGCAGCTTTAGGTGCAGAGGTCCGCCGGCCCACGGGGTGAGCATGAGGTCGCCGGTCAAACCATGAATGCACGGAGCACAAATTGATGTCCTGTGACTGTGGAACAATGTAGTTTAGTGAGCATTAAGGAAATCCCCGGCCTCATGCGCTGTGCACAGAAGGCAGTAAATTTAATGGCTGCCGCTGACTGTTGCCTCGAGCCGTTAGGTTGTTGACTGATTAGATGTTAAAGCTCCTTTTTTAACATTAACGCTGTCTCTGCTACGTTGAGCAATCTGCTGTCCTCAAAGCATTTCATGTGAATCTAGAACCGTTAAAGAAACAAAAAGAAGTCTTAGGAGGGGATATAGAGCCATAAAACCCTATAAATCTTTTCTTTTAGGTGAGGGTTCTCTTCTCCAAGGGTCCTTTCATCTCCATCTTCGCCAGCGACCCGCACATCATCATCAAAGCCATCAACCAAAACCTGAACAGCGTGCTGAGAGACTCGAACATCAACGGCCACGACTACATGAGAAACATCGTCCACCTGCCGGTGTTTCTCAACAGCAGAGGACTCAGCCGAGCCAAAAAGCTTTGCTTGGCCACTCCCACCAACGGCGAGGCCATGCCAGCAGAGGGTAGGGCAACGCAGAGCTCTCTACTGCATTAAAAAGAATAATATAAATGTAAACTTTGCTGGCTTCAAAATCAATTTTTTTCTGCTGCTCGTCCTTTAGGGTGGCATGAAGACATGGACAGAAAGGTGTCTCAGAACAGCCTTTCCCAGGAACAGGCCAAGCTGGGCAGCAGGAACGCTCTCAACCGAAGGGTAATGGCTCTTCTACTCTACGAGTGCAGCTTGGTGTTTTTGGTGCAACAAAATAAGGCAGTTGGTCCCAAACACTGACAGTTTACAGCGACACAAACATGGAGAGTAGTAGAGTAATCACAGCAATTAGGATTTGTGACGGAGCTGTCGTGTGATGGGGAGGGGTTCCCTCCACCTTTTCATTCATTTTACCTATTTGACCATAGAGGAAAATCCACCATAGAGGAGAATCCCTAGCCAGAATCTGAATTTGCAATTTTGAATGTTTTCTTTTTCTCTTCAAAAAATTTGTTTTATCCAAAAACTTTAAGGTCATGTGACTACAGAAGAGGGTCAGGACCAACTAAATCTTATTTCAGTTTAATATATTCAAAAAAAGTCAGAATTTTGACTTTAATCTCAGAATTCTGACTTTTTTCTCGGAATTCTGACTGAATTCTGACTAAATTCTGTCACTAGCAAACATGTTAGCATCAAGCCGTAGCCATGTCTGTTTACAGACTAGCTCTCTTGTTTTAATCACCTTCTGCTCTTCCATTAATGAAATAGCATCACCAGGGACCCTTTCAGCCACATAAAAAGTCACCTAATTCCGTAATTTTCAAACCAATGTGCTACTGGCACTCCCAAACAACTCACATCTTTATCAGTCAAGTTCAGTGCTCTCACATCTCTTCCTAAATGGTGCCCTTTCAGATTAAGATCCAAAATTCTGAGATTTAACTGATAATTCTGAGAAAAAAGTCGGAATTTTGAGATTTAAATGATCATTCTGAGAAAAAAGTCGGAATTCTGAGATTGAAGTCAGAAATCTGAGAAAAAATTCGGAATTCTGAGATTTAAGTCAGAATTCTGAGATTAAAGTCAGAATTCTGAGAAAAAAGTTGGAATTCTGAGAAAAAAGTCAGAATTTTGAGAAAAAAGTCAGGATTCTGGCTTTTTTCCCCATATTAAACTGAAACAATATTTAAAAAATCAGTAACTTTATTTTATTTTTTTTTCCAATGGCCCTAATCCTCTTCTGTATGTGACTGACTGACAACAAACTAAAGTCAAATATTTGTACTAGACTGAACAGAAAATTCAGACATGTTTAAATCAAGTTTTGAAATATTTACTGGTTTTTATCATCTTTTATATTAGAGTAAACTATAATTTATTTTCATTTCAACTTTTAAATAAATAATTTTAATTTATTGTCAGTCCCTGAGTGACATTCAGATAGTTGAAAGTCAACATTTAATTACAAAAGTTATGAAAATATTTTATGAAGGTTGAAAAGTAACAGTTGGTTTGATGTAATTTATTGGACTTTAGTTTGACAGAATAACATAAAGGGATGTCTAATGGTCAAGGTGTTAAAAAATCACACCGATTAGAGACATTTGGATTGTTTAAAGACAAAACATGTTTAAATTCCTTTAAAATTGTATTTAAATGTTAAGGAAATCTATTTCCCTTGCTGTACCTGGTCTGATGTTCCCAAACTTTTTGGCCTCAGCCCCACAGAGCAGCACCATAATGGTCTCATGACCCAAACTATTGGTTAAAATACAAACAAATCTTTAAAATAAGACTGTTAACCGTTGGTGGAATAGTGATAAAAACAACCAACGTATTTGATATTTAGCCAGTTATTTCCTCAGACTCTGGTCCGTAGATACAGATGTAGCTCTCTGTTTTCAGGGCCGGGGGGTCGGGGTGGTGCTGGCAGGCCTTGAGGCCTCCGGGGGGGCCATACATGGACGAGGTGTCCGGTGTGCGGCCAGGGTTCCTGCTGTAATTGATGTAATGGCTGTTTATCCTTCCTGCTGTGTTGCCACAGCCTAATGACAAAGCCTAGCAGCAGTGGGTCCCTGTGACAAAACACTGGCACCAGGTCTGCTGGCAGGAGGCTAAGTGACTCTGCTGCTTTAGCTGATGCCGTCCTCCCTCCTGTGAGACCCCCCCATCATTACTATTGGCTCTTTGTTGGAGGATGACTTCTCTGTGAAGTCTGCATCTTTGCAGGAGGAAGCGCTAACTTGAAATAGGAAGAAGTGAAAAAGACAAATAGATTTATTGTTTTCAGCTTTCAAATGGATTTTCCATTTTGCAATGATATGCTGTACATGTGTGGGTCTAACTTTTCAGCTTCTCAACACAGAGCACTTCTGCATATGGACCATAGACATTAAGCCCCGCCCCTCCCATTACACACATTTGACAGGTTTATTTTGTTCTGCTCTTGTCATACACACTTTGTTGCAAAATTCGTTAATAACGCAAAGTTAGAAGCTTGCTGGTTATTAGACTTATGCTTAATAAACATAATCAATGAATAGGGAAAAAATGAGGAAAATATTCTAGAAGTATTTCTTTACACGTTTTGTAGCATTGTCTGATAGTTTGCTAATGGGGTCCACCTGAGCAGCTTAGGATGGTTATTTATGCAGAGGAGGTGTCTTCTAGACATCGTCCTTTTGGTGATATGACACTGACGCTGATGTTTCCCCTGCCTGGCAAACTTGAGCTCTGCTGGTTCCTGATCATTTAACCCAATTTGCTTTTATGTGAGGGGAACATGTTTGGGCGCTGTTTGGCGTTCCAGCTGGATAATCCGGAGCAGAGCCTATAACTGCTTTTAAAGCAGGTAAACTAGAGCAGGATTTCCGCAGGTCATTAAAGAATCATTAAAAGTATACATTATTATTTTTTTAATTCATTAAATGTGATTATCGTGGCATTTAAAATGCTTTATTTAATAAAAAAGGAAAAAAAACCATTTATATCAGATATAACTGGTTCCGCATGTTTGCGTGGAACTGCTTCGGGTTGATCGTAAAGCCGTATGTTTGGAAAAGAAGCTTGAGGCGGAGAAAAAGCTAAAGAATGGGGAAAATGCTCATTTTAACAAAAGTGGCAGAAAAACAAGCAATTCGATACATGGCTGCAGCCTGACGACGCTAAAGATTAGAAAGGATTTTACAGTGATATGTGTGTGTGTGTGTGTGTGTGTGCGTGTATATATATATATATATATATATATATTAGGGGTGGAACGGTTCACAAAATCCACGGTTCGGTTCGATTCACGGTTTCTGGTCACGGTTTTCGGTTCGATTCGATACATGTTGATTGTTACACCGAAATCCCATAAAAATTTATGAAATTAATGAAAAAATCCCCCCCACTCCAAGAGACTCAGAGGGGAGCGGACGGGAGCCGCAG